GATATCGTTTTTTGTTTCAATATTTTAGTCCCCCTTATCTCCCCATTTTTATATAAATTTTTTTCAGAATTAATAGGCTTCATTCATTCATTTACATTTGATATCGCTTTTGGTTTTTGATTGCTATCTTTTTTATTTCAACCCCCATTAACCTTCCATTTTTTATCACATTTTTGTCAAAAAGGCTTCTTCACCTTATAGAGCTTGATTTTAATTTTAAGTATACATCATTTTTCGTTTTTGAATTCGGTTTTTTTTTATATTTTAACCCCCCTTAACATTTGTATACAGTTTTATTTTTCAAAATTGAATAGGCTTCATCTTATAGGGCTTGATTTTTATTAAAAATTTCATGTTTATATCGCTTTCCACTTTTGATTTACAATTTTTTTTAATTCCAATTCCCCTTAACCCCTCAATTTAATTAGATTTTTGTTAAAATCAATAGGCTTCGTTTCTTTATATAGCTTAATTTTTTAAAAAAAATCAGTTGATATCATTTTTGAGATTTTCTTTTGTATTTCAACCCGTCTTAACCCTCCATTTTTATTCAGATTTTTGTCAAAATCAATATTGTTCATCCCCTTATAGAGTTTTATTTTTCCTAAAATTTTCAGGTTGATATCATTTTTCGTTTTTGAGTTGCGGACAAAAAACTGAACATCGGACATTGTTTAAAATTTCATAGAAGGTATATTGGTATAAAAATATTTAGATTATTAGAAATTAGAAATTTTAGTTTCTTGAAAATAATAATAATAAACAAAAAATGAATTATTGTGGAACAATTAAACCAAAAAAATTAAGATACATTACTTTATACTACTCGTTTATCTAAAAGTTGTTTTGACTAGGTATTTGCTAACATCATGAGATATTTGTTATTTTCTTTAAATAATATTTGTTAAAAAATGTTTAAGTTTAAAAGAAACTCCCAGACGAATTTTCGGGGGGACGGGAGGGGGCATTTCCTTTAGCCATGCCCTTTTTAGCATATTCTTTTGAATAAAAGGCTCATAAATCTTAAGAATTTGCATCTAGGGGAGGGTATTGTCCCCATAGCCCCCCCGGAGCCGCCCTTGGATATATTTTCACAGATATGAGCCGTAATAATATAAAATAAATTAAATAAATAAGTTTTTATACAAGTTTAAATTAATTAAGTGTTCAAATTGCGATCCATTTACTTTCATACAGTAATAATATGTATATTAATACATCCTGTATATTATTGTGAACAAAAATTGGAACATACTATAAAATAATATTCAACAAAATCCATAGAAATATTTATCTAACCTGCTTTGGTTTTTTTAACCATTCCTACAAATGCAAAAACCAAAATGATTCATTTATATTTTTACAGTCGTTCGAATAACATCTCAGAAAAATATTAGTTGCTATAAATTGGACTTGTTTAGTAAGTATTATTTGAGTCATAGTGTTTTCTTTCTTATAAATGGATATATGGTGGTATTGTACTGAATTAAGGTAATTTTATAATATTTTAAATAGTATATTTAACTAATTTAAATTATTTTAGTCTTATCTAGGGTCTTAGTACTTGAAATTAATAATTTAAACAATTTTTTCTAACTTCTTTTTTGTATTAACGTAATGTTTTAGATTTACCGTAACGTAAGCACATTTCTAAGTAATATAAAGCAGAATATAACGTGTTCTGAATGTTATTTAAGACTTTTAGTTATTACTATTTTATCTTTTACAATTTTGGATTTTGTATTTTTGAAACTATTCCTAGCTAGATCTTTTGCTTTAATAATATTTTTAATCTCTTTTGAATATCAATGTTGAAGTATAAAAATTATAAAAATAAATTTATTATATTTTTTTTATATCAGTTTTATAATGTTACCATTTCCTTAACCCGCCCATGTCTGTCATATTTAAATACTCTTTGGAAGCGAAAAGTTTACTTTAATACTCTGAATTTTCTGAGAAATTAGAATAAGAAAGTATGATCAACGTAATGAAAACTTTGGTTTGCTTATGACAGCCGGAAAATTTATTAGTCTAAACGATCTGAATTGTAAAAAGAACAAGATGGAAAATATATATCGCGTTTGTTCTTGGGACTGTTGGGGAAAACAATAAGATATAAAAGCGTATTGGAATTTCCAGGCACTTATAATGAATATTTATATAATATTTTTTTAATAAACTATTATAAAGATGTAAAATAAAGAAAAAAGAAAGTATGAACTCAAAGTGATATGTCAAAGTCAAAATATTACGAAAGATTTTTCCTTGCTGTTTTCGTGGTAATTTCTTTAAGGCGATTCTTTATAAGAACATACTTATGTAACCATAGCAATTCTTTATTAGGTTTGATTACTCTGCTTTGGTTAAATGTTACCAAACCATATGTAGCTACATCTAACGAGGCATTTATTTATAAGCTTACTAGAATATACTCTAATAAAAATAACAAAATCAAAACATCCAAAAATTCCTGAAATTCAATTTCCATTTAGAAATCCTCAAACTTAAATTAAATTTGACATATGACATTCAATAATAGTAACCACAATCACAAGAACACTTACCATAATAATACTGTAACCAAGTATATTGTAGTTTAATGTTATTTTTTATTTCTCTTTGTACTTCTTTAGGACTAGCATCAACTTTTTGTTGAACAACTTTTTGCCCACATCCCATTTTCTGTTCGTATTGAGGGTGGATACGTGTTGAATTTATTTGTTTATTTTTTGACAGCTTTCCATAATGAGTAATCAGTCATTTGGTCATCTGTGAGCTCGCTTTCAGACGTTTGGTTGATTTAATTTGGTTTGTTCTCTTTAGTTCTTATTTTTTGCTTCTCTTTTCGAGCATTTCTTTTGTTTTGTATTAAATCCCTTATTTTGTTTTGTATTAAATTCCTTATTTCTTCATGGTAATTATTACCTATGGTTTTTATTTGTATTAATTGTGTATTATTCCATGCAGCTTGTTGAATATTGACAATAAATAATTTCGTTTCTGAATCCGAATCTTTCACCGTCCTAATTTGGATATTTAATTTAAGTTTTTCAGTAAGTTCAAGTTTTTTTTTAATATTTTATTCAATGCTAATTTACAATCAACTTCAATAAAGTAATAAGTAAATTTGATGGAAGAGGGTGGCTTGAGGCAAGTGTCGTCCACTGACAACTCTCTGGAATTCACCTAGTAGCTAGGTCTTCTGGCCAAAGTCTTTTTTAAGCGTCTATCGATGAGTGAACGGTTAAAGAGTTCGACTATGAAGTGGTTTGGATGGTTTTCACTGCGATTCATATATTTTCTGAAGTGGTGAGTAATCACATCATCTATGAATGGAATATTGAGGTCTGCATGAAGGGTTTGGTTGGAAACGTACCAAGTTCAAGTTGAAATTTTTTCCAATCTATATGTTTGTTCGTCAGTGTAGGATTGAGTTATCTAGTGGTGATATTTTCACTCATTATTACCAGTATTGGGGAGTGATCAGATATTAATTTCTCAACATCTTCTATTTTTATAAAATTTGTTGCAATATTTCTGGAAATCAAAAATCCAGGAGGTTCGGTATTTTGTTTATATCACTTGGCCAATATGAAGATTTTCCCGTCGAATATTACTAATCTTTGATAATGAAAAACAAAACAAAAATAACCACAAGGTTTGCCTTTTAAAAATTTATTAAAAAATTATTCCTATTTTTAATAAAAATTATTTATTGGTCCTTCAAGCCGGATTGTATTTGAATTTTACTTTACAAGACGCAATTCAATCAGAATAGTGTTTTAAGGAATTAACCAATAAGAACACGTAATGATTATTCAACATGGACTCTAGACTCAAATTTTTCCAGTCCACGTTGACTAATCACAGGCGCAAACTAAAGACCACTTTGTTGACATTATTTTAAGCAGAAACTTTAAAACTAACACTACATATATATTTTCTTACATACTGGCTAACCGACCGCCGGCGGTGCTTGCATTTGTTGAAAAGAAAACCGTCTTCCGGCGGCATATGGTCTTCTTCATACAGGAAAGCAGCCGCAAATCTAAACTGATTTGTTGATCAGGGTGGCACGCTATCAGTGAATTGAAAAATGCCGCCGGACGACGGTCTACTGTATTTAAAACATTGAATACCGGTGGTAAGAAAAAAATACATGTAAAATCGTCTACATTTTTATGGCAAATGATCATATGTCGTACGCATTTTATTTGTTCATCGGTCTCCTTTTGACATAGTAGATGAGCTGTGTCCAGGCCGTTGGTGTTTATACCGGTCGGCGTAGCCAAGTATGGATTGAAATTTTGTGGTGGCGGCGAAGCCGCCACCCAACGAGAAGTCGTTAATTCGTCTTCTTGTTGTCTCGGCATTATTATTATTTGTTCATGTATGTGAAATTTGCTTCTAAGGTTTATAAAATACTATTGCTAGTCACGGCGTAAATGTAAACAAACACCTTCAGCAATTACAAATGATTAGTGTTGTCCCCGATACGCGAGTTTTTTCCGGCGACATTTAATGTTTCAAATACAGTAGACCGTCGTCCGGCGGCCTTATCAATACTTTGATAGCCTGCCGCCCTAATCAACAAATCAGTTTAGATTTTCGGCGGCTTTCTTATATGTGAGAAGACCATGCCGCCGGAAGACGGTTTTCGTTTTATTAAATTCAACTACCGCCGGCGGTCGGCTAGCCAGTACGATTTTCTTAACTATACCAATCTGCAGATCGCTCATTAAATGCAACAACGTCCTAAGTTTAAAAGTTTTGTTATTTAAAAACAGAAAGGTATTGAAAGTTAAATAATTTATTGTATGTGTTATATTTACATTAATGCACCAGACGAAGAAGCAGATTACGCATAAAATGCGACAAAAAGTAAAAATTTTAGATTTATTATGTTATTGCACCGGACGTGCGAGTTTATTGTTTAATCTTATTCTTTTAGAAACGGCTAGTTATAATTCCACTAACGTTCGATTTATTGTTCGCAGGAAGAAACACGAGAAAACGTAACAATAAGTGAGTTAAGTTTCGTCCCGACAACGGAGGACGATGGAAAATCCATAACATGCAGAGCAGAAAATCCAAATGTCACCGGCCTTTTCCTCGAGACTTCGTGGAAAATTGACGTCGTGTGTAAGTAGGCTTTTAGGAACGTATTTGTTTCTTCATGCGTGCCGACCTGTTTCTTTTTTTCCTTTTTTATTTTCGTCACCTTGAGCTTTGCGTATCCTTGAATTTCGGGGGATATTAAGTGAACATTAATCTTTTTCGACGGCGACATTGCTTTAGGATTATTGAGAATTTCGAAAAATAAAGGACTCTGTGTCGTTTTATTAATATTCGCGATTTAAATTAATTTTGGCGTGCCTGTCATTTTTCACCTATAAGTAGAATGTTTGTTTATTTACATGTGTTTGTTTTGGGCGAATTTAATATTTGTGATTTTTTAACTGTTTTTAGATAATAATTGTGATAGTGTTTTTGAGTATAATTTAGTGTTAATTTAAGTTTAGTTTTCGTGCTTTCGTCATAAATATAATATCATGTGTATGACTTAATTTGTTGGAAATACGAGGGTCATTCAATAAGTAGAGAGACAAATGGCTATAGCTCAAAACCAGTTTATTTCAATCTTTCAAAATTAAGGCTAGTTTTCAACATAATCACCCCCCACAGTTATGCACTCGTCCCATCTTTCTTGCAGCTTCCTAATTCCTTTGGCGAAAAATTCTTTCAATTTACCCCGAAGCCACTTTTGCATCGCTTCGTTAACTTCCTCATTGTTAGCAAATCTTTTTCCACGTAGGGCGTCTTTGAGTGGCCCAAACAGGTAAAAATCAGATGGGGCGAGGTCGTTATCGTGCTGAAGAATGACTCCTTTTGACAAGAGTCCACGGCGTTTGCTCCTGATAGCTAGTCTAACTTTGTGTTCTAGCTCTCAGAGTAGTATTGGCTATTGATAGTTCGCAATAGACCGGACCATGTGAGTTCCAAAAGATGGTCAGCATCACTTTACCGGCGGAAGGTTGAACCTTGAATTTTTTGTGAATTGGAGAGCTAGTGTGTTTCCACTCCATACTTTGCCTTTTGGTCTCAGGATCGTAGTAATGGATCCAGACCTCGTCGCTGGTCACTACTCTTTTAAAAAAAGCGTTTCCTTCAATCAAACTTCGTTGCTTTAAGTCTTGACTAATGGAAAGCCTTGATTCTTTATGAGCGTCAGTAAGCTGTCTGGGAACCGATCTGGCACACGTTTTTCTGTACTTTAAATTGTTCTGACTGACATTGTGAACACTTACTTGAACTTCCTCAGCTATCATTTCAACAGTAATTCTTCTGTTATCACGAATAAGTCCGTCAGTCCTCGATTCCAACGAGGGACCAGAAACTTCCACTGGACGTCCACATCACCTACACTTGTTCGACCACTTTTAAACCGATCAACCCACTCGTAAAAAGTCGCACGATTTATACAACTTTTACCGTACTGTATCAACATTCTAGAAAAAATATCACTTGGTTTTACACCTTCTGCGACTAAAAATCTAATGACTGAGCGCTGCTCTTCTAAGGTGCAATCTTCTAGTGGACTTGCCATGGTGAATTGAAAATTTTGAGGTTATGTTGACATAAAATGATGAAACAGCTGATCAGAGCATATCCCAAGGTTGCCAACTAACACCCCTGAAAAGATTGTACACTTTCATTGAATGGTTTTAAAATTATAGAATTGGTCTCTTTACTTATTGAATGACCCTCGTATTCACCTATTGGTTGCTACGAGACATTTTTTATTTACTAAACTCAGGACATGTTTTATTATGTGGTTTGAAGGACATTTCAGGTACCAAACGTTAATTATTAATGAACTTATTTAAAAATCTTAAACCATCACAAATCAGATTACAGTTTGATTCTAAATAAAGTTTCGAAAAATTTCAATATTGTGAATTTGTAGATATCCATTTATCGTATGAAACAAAATTTTACCACTTGCGCTTGGAAAATAATGAATACTTCAGTTTTGATTTTGACATTAACACTATATAGAATTGCAATTTGCTGGTGGCTTTTTCACAGATTTCATTTTTAATATAAACACTATCACATACTATCAGAAATAAACAAATTTAAAGCTAAAAAGTAAGAAAAAATTCGAATTGTAATTGATACAAATTAAAATGTAAACAATAAACATGAACGCCAATGTTGCCAAATGAACTGATTTTAAAACAAAATTAATAAATGAACTAAAATTTAAAAAAAAAATCAATATAATACATCAGTTTTATAAAAAAAATCCTTAAATAAATATAGAGTATGATTACATATTAGTAAACAAATTTTCATTCTTAAATAAAAAATCTTATTTAGTTTTTCAAGAGCTAAAATTTGACGACGTAGCGAAATTTTGCTACTTCTGGCAACACTGAACGATATCCTACCTTCTACAAATTTCCTCCAGAGGGCGTATCACTTAGTTTGAATCGCGAATACTGCGTGATTCTAAACGATACTACCAAAATAACAATGTAGGAAGATCTTTATAAATAAACTCGTATTTTCAGTTGGTCAGATGGGGCTTTTATTCCGTTCCTTAAAAAAACGTACGTAGGACCAAATTGTCTGTACAAGCAATTTTTCTTTATAATATACTTAAGACAAACTTATGATACTTAAAACTAAGAGTACACCCATCTCTCTCTTCTTTACTGGTATTCTATAACTTTAAAAACTTCTTAGGTAGCAAATAAATCGAATATCAAGCAAATATACCAGCAATCATAGAATTCAATTGCAGAAATTTAATTTATTTTCTTATACCTTTTTTATGATTACTTTGATCGTGTCATTGAGCATATTAAATTTAAATATAGATAATCCTAAAATTAATTTATCCTTTTACAAAACGATGTAAATTTTTCCTTTAATAAAGAGCGTTAGTATACAAGATGAAATCATAATTATTAAGGAAACATATTTTGTAATCTAGTGGCTCTATCAAGCTTTTTAACGAGCTCAATGTTTTAAATTAGTTATCTGTTATATTGGTTAGATTGAATACTTAATGAAAGCAGTTTAATAACAGAATGCGCGACTAAAAATAAATAAAAATATAAATGTAAAAGTATAATGTAAAACCCTGGAGATTGCACAACGAGTAAGATCAAACATTTGTGTAAGTAGCGTCCGTTGTATGAATAATGTTTTCGAGAGGAAGATTTTGTTGTATTTGTAACTGTAAACTACACAAATAATTAAATGTTTATTTTACGTATGAAGTTTATTAATATTAAAATAATGTTACAAAACTAATAATTATTAAAACAAATGAAATAACACAGTCTTAACAAAAGAAATCAACTGCACTCCTTAACGGTGTTCGATAATTTACCCATCCAAAAGTTGGTCCCACTAGTAAGATGACCCTTTTCTGTCGACCGCCGGATTTATGATGTTTTGCTCGGATTAAGGGACCATTCAAACAATAGATTACATAACAAATAATGATGCGTATTAATTAAACATTGCAAAATAATTGATAGTATCAATTGTCAATCTTGTCAAATCCAATGCAAAATACTTATGTTTTGAATATAAATAACTGACGACATTTATAAAGTTATATACCAAACAGCGCGACGTTATAGACACCAACCACCATGCTCTGTTTTCATAAACAATGCGTTCCTCGAGGAAATGAACAGATTCTAAGAAACTTTCGTGGGAATTGTATTCGAGAGAAAATTGATTTGAGTTTCTTGTAGCTCGTTTTTCTTCGTTTTTGCGATGGTGTCTTTGCATACCGTACTCACAAAGGAGTGTCTCGTTTTCGGTATTCTCACCGCTGCTTTAGATGTATTACTTGCTTGCGTAAAATTGAAAATAATCATTAAAATAGTGTGATGCGGTTTTTAGTTGATTAAAAAACGGGTTCAGTGAAAGAGGTTGCGAAATGAAACACCAGGATTTACGTACTAATTTGTTTGAATCAATCAAATTAAAATAACAAGTCAACGTAAACAAACGAAATTGGAAAATGGCGACCGAAAAACTAGCACAAAGTACTATGACGTGACGTTCATTATTAAAGAAAGGAAACAAATGATACAATTTGTTATTTTTCATCATTATTTTAATATAAGAATCTAAAAGTAAAGAGAGAGTATTAAGAAAATCTAATGGCAAGAATAGCGGAAGATTTTAAAATCAAACTATATGCAGACATTTTTATTATTTTCCAACATAGATATTGAAGAGTTTTTCGCCATAGGTGCTGTTGCACCTTCTTCTCCATATAAAATCAAAAATGAAATGTATTTAAAAAGTCTTGCCAAAAATGACTTTGTTCAAATTTAGGTAACTGTCAAAATTTTGAAATTTGATTAGCGATTTAAAGCTTAGAAAGTAATATCAAAATTGATATTGGGAGGGTCAGGATGAATTAAAAAAAACAAACTAAGTCTAATATTTATATTTACGAAAATAACACAAACAAAAAAGAGAACAATTAAAGAACCCAATTTAAAAGAAAACACTGAATAACCGATTAACCACAATACATCATATGAAAAACCACTTACTCTTCAGCAAAGATTAAGGTTATGTAGGTTACCCTCTTGGGGCGAAATCAGCTGATCGACAGCGCGCAGAGAAATCTTAATTTGAATCGCCTATAGTTTTCGTCTAGGATAACCCATATTTCATTTTTTGGGAGTCCGATAAGAGCAAATTCTAAATTTTCACTAATGTGTCAGTTCTGTAAAATGAAACAAAATAAGTCAATTATCACATAATTTTATTGTTTACAAGCGGCGGCTATTTTTGATTTCTGTAGAACATCGTCAGGTCTAAAAAAGTGGATAACAAAGTAAGGATGCAAATATTACAAACCGGTTATACAAAAACTTACCAAAACAATTTTTAAACTTAAGTGTGGGTCATACATTCATTGTCTCAAAAATATTAACATTCCACAAATTGTCTGATGCAATGTAGTAAATTAAAAATTTGTATTAAAAAATATTGAATAGACCCAAACCAAAGTAAAAAGATAAAATGAGGAGTTATGAAGTGGAGGAAGGCATAATTTGTGAACTGAAGTGTGGTGAGGAAATCAATTCCTGGTATCCTTAAAAAAGAACTAAATTCCATGTCTTCCAATTTTTTCACTTATATTTAAATTCATATACAAAGTCCGATGACACCGTCAAAGTAATAATGAAAAACATATAAGATAAAAATAAATTAAATTGTTGCAATTAAATTCTATGAATGTTGGTACATCCAATTTCTTTGCTACCTAAGGAAGTTTTACCTGTTATATTTGCCGGATATATTGCACTTACCTACACTAATAAATAATGTTGAGTATATCATTTAGCTCCCATCCAAAAAGGACTTAAGTCTATATCTACGTTAATATTGAGTCGTTTTGTATGAAGCAAATAAAAAACATGATTATCGTGAAGCGTAGATTGGGGTATGAATTTTACTTTGTTTTGCTTCCTGGAAGAAATGAAATTTGAAATTCCGTTTTTCATCTCACTTCAATTCACAAATTTTACCTCCCTCCACTTCTCATTTTCCTTATTTACCTTTTTACTTTAATCGTAAGTTCCTTTGGTTTGGGTCTATTCAAATTTTTGTAATACAAATTTTTTAATTACATCAGACAATTTGTAAAATGTTGTTTTTTGTGATAATGAATTTATAAGTTACACTTAGATTTATGGTTAGTTTTTGTATTACCTGTTTGCAATGTTTGCATTCTTACTTTGTTACCTACATTATTAGACCTGACGATGTCTTATAGAAGCCAAAACTAGTCGCCGTTTCTAAAGAATACAATTTTGTGGTAAATTTTTTTTCCTTTTATTACAAGAACTTGTTGAAATTTGCTTTTGAGATAGTTGTAAAGATTTTGTAATGGATTTGGACTGGAATGTCATCTACAAGGTGTTCCTATATCCATATATACATAGAATTGTATCCTACACGACGGTTACATGCGTAGCGTTATTGTCGCGAGACAAAATATTAACAATCTTCATCATCATTATCATAATCTACGTTTACACTTAATCTAAACTAAAAAAAGTCATGAACCAACTGACGCTGTGCCTGCTAGTAGTCAGTCCATCGATGATTTATATACCTTGGGAGGCTTTTTCTCCATCACTTCGTGACGGCGCGACAACGGTGCTCTTTTGACAATGGTTTCTTTGTTTTTGTTTTCAGATCCCCCCATCGTGACGCTGTGTCTGGGGAGCACCCTTAACGCCGACGATATCAAAGAAGGCGACGATGTCTATTTCGAGTGTCACGTTACGGCCAACCCGGTTTGGAGGAAACTCACCTGGCTGCACAACGTAAGTTTTTGTTAATTTCATTTGCTACTAATGTGTGTCTTAATGTAATAGTTTCTCAAACAAGGAGAGTAAATAGTAATGGCTGTAAAGTTAAGAGTGTTACAATGGTGCAAAAATATTGTTTGTGGAGGCGGATTATGTGTATTTTAAGATAGAGAACTATGCGAAATAAAAATGGAAGAAGCAAAATTTATATCCTCATAGGTTAGAGCTAATTGCGGTATAAAAATAAATTAAATTGTAGATTAATTAACTAAAAATGATGAGTGAATTGAAATTATACAAATTTTATGTAGAAATCTATTCTTAAATAAACAAAAAAGGTCCAGTGCTCAATTATCAAATGCAATTTATGATTTCCGGAACAATTTTTTTTCTAGTCAACAAAACATCAAAAAATATGCCGAATAGTATCCTTAAGTTGTTAAAAAAAATTAAACAAATCCAACATATGGATGATTGGCAAAACATTTTTAAATACAGCTTCAAAGGGTTCCATTATAAAACCATTTAGTATTATTATAATAGTAAAATATCAAATATATACACACACATATATATCTTACCAGCTTTCCAGCGTCCATAAATTGCTTATTTGCATCTGATTCTGCGTGCATGTATGGATGCAGAAAAACCACCCAGAAAACTTGTGGATATGTGTCTTGATTCACGATTAATAATAAAGGGGATAGTTATGAATTTTTTTGTTAAATTGGGTCGTTTTTTGAGATTTTTTTCGTGGATATGCCGCTAGGACAAATCAGTTAGTATAATTTTTAAATTAAGTTAATTTTATTATTAATATCATTAATATTTTTAATATTAATTATTATTATCATTATTTTCAATATTATTGCAATTGCCTGTTAAGTTTGGTTTCAACAAGATGGTTGTCAAAGTCACAATTCCCGGATAGTGACAAATTTTTTTAAAGCGTTATGAGTCCTTTTAATCTCTACACGTGGTTCGATCAAGTGGCCTCCAAGATCTCCAGATTTATCACTTAACTATTTTTTTGTGTGGGTTTCTGTAATAAATCGTGTTGAAAAAGCAATAAAAGGTCATCATTTGCCTCTAAATAATTAAATAAATATAAATTAAGAATAGAAATTGAATTAAAATTGACACATTTATATTTTAAATATATCTATAAGTTCTTCATTCTTTAATATCAAAAGAAGTATTGATCAGGTCACCAAACATTTATATTAACACATTAATAATATTTTTGTAATCTTGAAAACACACGAACACAAAATTAAATTCAGTATCCTTTATTTAATATCCTGGACAGTCTGTCAAGATGGTCCTGCTGTATAAGTCCTCTTTTCGTCCACTTTCATTTCATTGTATTATATATATTTTTTTCGGTTTTCTGTTTCCTGGTCTTATCAATGTCTGAAACATTCCCAAATCTCTCTGTTCTCCCATCTCACTATGCGATCAAAAACCACAGGGGTAGACTCAGAAAAATTTCAGTTTATCTTAACTTATTACAAATTTGTTTTGGATAATTAAAAATAATGTTTGAATTTTTTAAAGAAATAGTCATGTAGTCAAAGTAACGTTTACTCGGTTATTTCTGGAGTGCTCCAAGGTTGCCACCTGGAGCCTTAACTTTGAACGTCTCTCCAGCTGTACTCAGCGATTAAAATAAAGAATATTATTGATTAAATTTATTGCGCAATAGATAAGAATGCGACGATCTCCAACTTGTTGCAGTAAGCAAGCATATAGCCTTGAAACTTATACAAAAATAGACTCTCTGATTATATTATGTTGAGAGAAATGTACTTTTTAGCTGTATTACGTTATTAAATTAATATTTTGTTAACGTAATGACATTCATGTAAGTTGAATTTTTTATTTTACATGCATTTTAATACTTTTTTATCAATTTTTCACTATTCCAAAGAACTCTTATCAAACCAGACATTAAATACGTAGTCCTCACGGACTACTGTTTAATATGATTTATAACACGCGCGTAATATTGTTACGTAGGTCGTAGAATAAATATGGTATATACAATTTTATGCGGCATCATGGTTTCGAATGAATCATTCTTTTTTCGTTTACATGCAATTTAATCATGTTTTTTCGATATCTTGCGGTTTCAAAGAGGTAATTTTGGAAATAATACTATGTATATTTTTTCGTTGTAAATATTATATAAATAATATTTTATATTGAACGCCGTTTGTCTTGTTTAAATCGATCTATTATTAATAAAGATATGGGCTTAGGCCCTTTTGGCAATGGTTTTGTGCATGATTTTTTATAGTAAAAGTCGTCTAATTGATATTTTACTTTAAGAATCGTTGTTTCATTTAAATTAAATCAATACTAACTGAGATATAGACTTAGGTCCTTTCGGCAATATTTCTAAGTTTATTTTTTATTGTAAATAACATCTAACTAATGTTTTACATTAGTTTGTTCCGTTCAAATCGACTAAATAATAAGATATAAGCTAAGGTCCTTTTGGCATTAATTCTACGTACGTTTTTTCATTGCAAATGACATAACATTTCACGCTTAATACCTTTTTCCTATTTGATTCGACTTAGTATCTGTATCTGTAACGGCACATTGTGTATCCTTCTAGCTCTTAGCTCGTGAGCTAGCCTACAGATTTAATGTAGTTAACAATGACGCCAAAGGGTGTTTCTCTTATATCTGCCAATTCTCGCTGAACACAAATCTTGTAATAAATGAGAGCCTCGGCCAATCGTAGAGGATATGGTCTATGGTATCATTTTCTTGTTCGCAGATTCTGTCTAGTCCTATTTAAGTATTTGTTCGCTGTAATAATGTCAGGATAACTTAAAAGCTCCCTGGCAAGTCTACAGCTTCTTGTTTCATGCCATCTTTCTTTGAATTTAACAAGAAAATGTTCTTTAATTAGGTTTTTCACTACCGATGTTGATAGTCGAATAAAAGGGGCAGGTTCAAGAAGTATTTGGTTGGCTGCCTTTTGCCTTTTGCAAAGTTTAGCTTTGTGTTTAGGAGTTCTGGAGGTTTTAATTCCATTTTTATCCTTTTCCTTGTTAAAATTACCATTTCTATAATTTCGAGACTTGGTGTTAACGGAGATATAGGCTCAGGTTCTTTTGCCATTAATGTCTGTTAATACTACAAATGTCTTTTCGTTGTAAATGACATCGAAACGCTCAATGCCGTTTGTCCCGTTTGATTCAACTTAATAATAACGGAGATATAAGCTAGGTGAAAAACAGGCAACTCAAATTAAAATTTAGTATTACTTATATGCCTTATGGATACTAATGAAAATAACATAAAACAAATTTTTATGAATTTAAAATCAAAAATCTCCATATTAGGAGAATATTAGGACAAAAACAGAAAATGAAGTAAATAAAAAAATTATATGGCCACTTACCACTCCTTAATAAAAGTTATCGAGAACAAGAATTTCCAAGCTGTTTAAAAATAGAAATGGTTTAAATTACGTTTCTCATTTAAACATATTATACCTAAATCAGCTTTTTAAATAGAGGAACACCTGCACCTATCGTGCGCCTAGCAATAATTTAACATTCCAACGAAGACATCTCTTGAGTAACAATATCTCGCTCCAAAGCAATAAAAACTGAAAATGTTTTCGGTACATAAGAGTTCATTATCGATGTCCTTTATTTGACCGTCTATATTGAAACGAATTCACATTTTCAATAGACTCTGGGATGGGTTGCAGCGGTATCTAACAACATTAGACTAACGCTATACTATCTAACAGAGTCGTGCTCCAACTTTCATCATGTAAACATCACAAATTTTTAATTTAAAGTTCTTTAGGATGCAGATAAAAATACAAGGGCATGACAGTCCACAATAAACAGCTACGGCTATGTTTAAATGTAGGATTTATTTATAGTGTGAATAAAACCACAAAATCCATACAAGAATAATAAAACTATCTTATACATTGTTAATTATCAGCAAATACCTTGAACTTAGAAAGACTGCCTACAAATATAATATACAAATAACGTTATGTAGTTTATATTTCATCTTGGTATAACATACAATTTTGTTTTGTTTGATTATGGTTGTGAATATCGGGCCAGTCCACTCATTTCCGTAAACAGGAGATTTGAAGTACCAACAAATTTACCCTAAGGCCCGACACTTTAAGTTTTCGCATGTTTGTGAAAAGCAAAGTCCGTTTCCCATTGAAGGCGAGCGGCAGTTTCTGTCAGTGGATGTACAGATGTTGAAAACATGGCAGATGGTTGTGTAACGACAAGGCAACTGGAAAATTATTAAACGAGTAGGGATCCGCTTCAGAATTCGGATACTGGAATACGGAGTGCTGTAGATGACTTATTGTTTAGAAACAATACTTGTAAAATGTGGATGTATCTTGTATTTGATGACTTGAGAGAAAGGGTAATTTATTTAATATGTCTTCTGTTTTAATGGAGAAACTTAACGCCTCAATACTTTTCAAATATTAATGACATTTTTATTTCAAGTTCTCTAAATTTAACAAGTTTTGAATTCTTATTTAATCAAATAATGAAATAACTAAATAATATTGTATCTATTTTTTTTATTAAGACTTTAATAATGCATTTTGAGTTCCCTATTTCTATCTACTGGTTTTTTCTTTTATATGTTGACTAATTGAAATTCGTATCTTTCCAGCTCAAAATATTGCAGATATTTTTACAAAAATCCTGATTTTAATGACTTTAAAATTTCCCCCAAATTCGATCCAAAATCTTATTCTTTGTAAAGTCGCATCGATTTTAAAAATTTTAGGATATTTATATTTTGTATTTACTTCAGACATTCCAAAAGTTTAACTGACAAGTGACAACCGGTAACATGACAACTGATCTACGATAAAAAAATGGAGAATTGGTATCACTGTTTGAGTTGACAGATGCCGTACTCCGCAGTTAACGTTGACAGATGACAAGACAGATGACTGACCTTCTACGGTGGTACTATGGAGGGTAGAAAAAAGGACA